CAAATATAAAAGATTTGTTTAAGTTCTTTTATTGAGCATATTTTCAATAATTGCAGAGTTGCAAGTCTCACCCATAAAGTATGCTTTTATCCTTCCTGTGGATCAAATCAATCACCCTCGTGCTTATGATCCTGTGCCAAGTGCCAGCTAGAGCCTTTGGGCAAGTGCAGACCAGATTGTACTGCGCATGTACCCCAACGATATGAGTCGTGCCATCTCCTCTTCTATCTTTCCTTGTCACACTTTGCAGTATTCAAGCCAGCATGCGTTTCTGGCTATTTTGACCCACAATCCTCTGCACAGTGGACATGTGAGCAAGAGGTGCGACGTGCAATGTTAAGACGAAGAAGTATTCAATTGAATGCATACTGCATGCAACAGTATAATGCTTTGTAAGAGTATCTGCAGTGTGTACCAAATGAGAAAAAAATAAAGTATGCGATTTCAAATGCAGTGCTAATCTGCTACATAGGCCTCCATTCTTGGTGGTTGTACAAGGTGCCATTGGCGACTAACAAAATGTAGCTCTTCATGGTATGTGTTGCTCTGTATTTATCTCTCCAGTAGCGAAAACAGATCCCTTGTTTCACATTTGAACATCTTTCCTCGTCTTTTTCAGATGAGAGGATTGATACCAAGAGTGGCATTCATCTCCTCATCTGAGTCTCGGCAGGAAAGCAAATGCATGAACTATTCCTCTGCTGGTTAAAAAACAGATGCATTCTACTGTGTTGTGTTTTTAATTTTTTGTATTGTGTGTGTAGATTGCGGCAGTCACATATTAAGGATGATAAATAACCAATCAATTTCTCCTCTCCACCAAATCCAACATCAGGAGGAGCGAGGCAGTCTCATCGCTGTCACATATAAATGAGGACCCATCACATGCCCGGAGGACAACACGAAGCAGCTGACTCCACTCATATGTCTATCAACCCACACTTTAAACATTTGGCTTTGTTTCTATTTCTCTCTTTTCATGGCACGGTAGGCTGCACAAAGCTAGACACCCAGTCACCGCCCAACCAACCTGGCAAGCCAGAAGCAGCTGCTGTGTACCTTTGCCGGCGCTGGTCACCAAAATCAGAAAAAGCACGCCTGCCAAAAAAAGTGCCATCGATTTCTGCTGCGGCTCTGAGCTACGTTAAGCTCGGTCCCAGGTCACAGATTAACAGCTCAACATCTCTCTTTGGTTTCTCTTTCACAGCAGACTGAACCTGCGCGCCCAATGCCAGCTGGCCTGCCCGGACCTTTTCACCCAGATACTTCATCAAAGTGCGGTGTGGTAATTAGACAGGGTTAACACCAAGCCACGCCACAGGTGCCTATTTACGGTATTAGGTTGGTTATCAAGGGTCCCACAGCAACAGCCACAAAGTGGGCTCAGGTATGCTTTTTTTGTTGTTGTGTGGCATACATGACTCTGAGCCCTTTCAGCAGCACATATTTTAGCATATTCCTCTCATTTGAAGAAGCACCGGCTAACACATCCTCTCCACATCTCTTTGTTGTGCTTGGGACAGTGATTACTCCAGAGAGGCCATGGATTAATCAGACTGTGAAGAGCACATTGATCTTCAGTCCAATCCATCAGATATTGGCTGCTTCTCGATGGAGGGGGAGAAGTGCAGCATGGAAATCAATCCCATAAGGTCAGGGGTTTCAATTTGAGAAACGGGTTACAATTGAGGTGACCGTGTTACATACGATCATCAAATGCCCTTGATTTAGTATGACTTGCATTTGACAGTTCAACCTGATTATAAACAGACTTTTAAAAAAGAGATTTAGAGAGAAAAAATGGAAATACTTGATGTGTTTAGTAACATTTCTTAAATGTAAATACAATAAAATATATTAAAGTAGGGAGAGAATAACAAACAAATTTATCGACTTGACATGTAGATACAAAACCTTTTCCTTGCCCTTCCCCAAAAAAAATATATAGCCATAAATCACCATCTGAAGAGTTTATTTATTAACTTTTAAGGAGCAATCCATTTTATTTTCTTCTTGTTCATTTTCTCCGGTTTTAAACATATTCTTAGATGAGCTTAACTAGACAGTGATTAATTGCATTGTAGAACTACCCTACTGGGCCTCTGCTAGAAAAGCTATGCAAAAGTAATGGAAGATACAACTAATTATTTTGTTGACTGATCTTAAGTTTGACCTCACACAATCTTGCCTCTCCCACTGGTGATTGGCCGTGTTGGTAAGAGCAGCAGCTCAGGATGCTGCCCGTGTGCAGGCGGCTGCAAAACGCACTAATGAATATTGATGAACGGCGCATTCCACCGAACCCGTAAAATGATGCGCGCAGAATAGAGAATGAGGTCATGAATTACGGAGTGACAACATGAAGTTTTAACATGGGTAGAGACACTGAATACCATGCAGTAGCAAAGCAGTCATGCAGCAACATAGGTTTGTTTCAACTCTATGCAGTGGCTGCAGACAGACAAGGCTGCTGTGTAAATATATAAGACCTGAAACATCAGAATGGGAATAGAATGCACTTGCAAATTCATTGGCATATTGATGAGAAACTCTTTTGGGACGGAAACATGCACACATGTGACTGTTGTTTAGAGTTTGATGTTTGCGAGGCTGTTTTGGGAGACGTGGATGAAAAAAGCCCACATTCTCCAGAAAAGTTCTCCTTGTTTGTTTCCTGTCACAGGTGAGTTATTTAGTCAAGCATCCTTATCTTGGAATTAAGCCCCATGGCAACAATCATAATGATGAGCTCCACCATAATCGCCCGCAACAGTTCTTTGTCGTACACAGCATCAGGTAAACACATCAAATCCTCAACTTGATTTTCAGCCGTATCCAAAATGTATGCAAATCAGTATCTGAAAATATGTGGGCAAATGTTTTCTGTTCAGTTTGCATACTATATTTAAACCTGATGATACAACCTTTTGGATGAAAGTAAGAAATCAACAATGCAAATCTTTGCTTTCGGTTAAAGGATAAAGCTTCGTTTTCCTGCCTGACTCATAGCACTGTTGCATAGCACAGGGCGAAGAGGAGGAGGAGAAAAGCTCGTCTCATCGAGCTTGACATGAACTGCCCTCCTGAAAGGCTCTGATGTGACTGACACCTCTCTCCTCTTTGCCACTCCAATTAGCTTCGGTGACAGGTGCATGTGGAGAAATGAGACAATCAATTACCATCTCACTCTGTCCCCTTTCTCTTCCTTTCTATTACTCTACATTTTTCATCCTTTCTTCCACGCACACCCAATTTTCCCATTCATACCGCGTCTGGCTTCTCATTGTCTGCTCAAAGCATATTCTCTCTCTCTCTTTCTCTCCTCTCCGTTTCACTGCAGCATGCCTACAGTCGGGGTGACGGGAGAGACGAGACAAAAGAGGGAGCATGTCACTCAGACTGTGAGGCGTCCTCCTGCTTTCCACTCAGACACAAGAAGCAAAATCACTGCCAGGCGTTGACGTGACTCCACTCATGTAGGTCCTGTTAAAGTCACAATGAATGCTGCACAGTCCTCTGTGGTATCCTCTTGACCACAGCTTTGTCGCATTACGGTGGCAAACTGGTTACAGTCCTCCATTAATTTGTCAGACACTAGAGTCAAATGTATCTGGAAACTCAATAGGTACCCTGAGTTATTTAAAACACTGATGTCACTGCAGGTTTCAGGGTGGGTGTTCTTGACTGGATGTTTAATGGTGGAAGTTTGCCACCTGCTGGTTATGATCCTTTTCCGGTGTCCTTGATCAAACCTCTCTTATGATTGCTTTAAAAATACTCACCCTCCTGCCATTTAGGCCTGCCAAATGTCCACGAAAAGCGTTTCCTTTTTGTTAAGGTCAAAAGGAAATTCTAGACATCAGACCAAGAGGATCAAATTAAAATGTTCCAAAATGTCCATGTTGTCAAAATTTACAACCCTGTTTTCAATTTCTAAATGGCCTCAGACATCATTTAGTTTTGGTTACTAACACAAGAGAACATCTTTCAGAGCCCTGTGTTCATTAACAGTACACTGAACCTCTGCCAGCTGCACATTATGTAATACCTACTCATTCACTTGCATAGTATAGTCATTAAAAAGGTACCGTATACCACACCTCCATGCTATATGCTTAAATTGGAATTCCAGCCAATTCCATTTTCATGATTTTACTTAAGTCAAATAACTAGAAACAGGACTAAGGACACCCTAGGCGTAGCACTGTGCACACCAGAAGATTTGACAAGGGAAGTTCTAAAACCATATTAAGACAAAGGGGCAACGTGTAACAGTTAAAAGAAAATCAAGTTTTAACCATAGCAATGTTTTTGGCCACAGTAGGCAGCTGTTTTCATTGAAAAAGCCTACAATAATGTTGCTCAGTGTAACTGCAGGATGTGTATAAAGGCAACTTTTTGCTAAACATGGTCACCACAAGGTGATAGTTTTATTCTCAGTTTCTCCCAAGTGGCTAAGATAAAATCCCTTATTTTTGGTTTAAATATTAAAGCATTTACTGAAGTTAGGCTATTTCGTAGCTAGGACCTACGACACCGTGTAAAAATGGAATTATATTAGGGCAGATTGTTAACATTAAATCTTACATGAGGATGTATGGAGGTGACATCTCATCAGCAGGTGTCACCTGCTGATGATGACGATACTGACATCTGAGAAATGTATACTATCTGATACAGGTAAGGACAAGAGGTCAGTACATGCAGTACAGACATATGATGACCAGTGGACGTCGTTAGGTTTAAATATACCGACGTATTTCACTGAACAACTTCACTTGCAATACACTTGCTTATCCATCATGACTAATGCTCAGGTGTCCTTGACCGTTCTCATGTTTTAAGTCTTTAATCATTTCTCCATTCCCTAAAGTGTCATTCAATAAGTGCTGTACAAGTAAAATATACTTGTGGTTGTACCGACCACCTTTTCATGAAATTCATACAAAATCAGGTGCACATAAAAGCTTAAATGGGGAAAAGTAAAATCAAGGATTTCCTTTTTTGAATGTGTCATGGCACCATTTATTTATTAAAGTTATGCATTTCCTTCCAACTTGATCATTGTACATATGTTGAACTTCATGACATTATTAGAATATCAGGCAGTCGGATCAGCATCGCCGTGAAAGCAGAAAGAAGCAGCATCTCTGTCAGGAGCTGATACAGAAAGAGCATGAGCGCTCCTTGTAGAGGAGGAGGAGGAGGAGGGGGGGGGGGGGGGGCAAGATACCCAAATGCAAATGAAGAAGCATGACATATAGAGTGTGGGAGGGGATAAATAAGCATGAAAGACACTGGGCTGTGAGGAAAAGGAGAAGTATGACACCCGAAAGTGTTCACAGGAAAAAGAAAGGGGGAGGGTCACACGCATAGGAGAAGAGGAGCAGCCGAGAGGCAAAATACCCCTCACAGGAGGAGGAGGAGGAAGAAAGAGGCAGCACGAAAATGTAACAGGACCAGATCAGAGCCTCCAGACTCTTCATTCTAGTGAACACCACAACTAGAATTTATCTGAAATTCTAGACTTTAACACATTTCAAGAGTTTTTAACACAATGGGATCTAGCCATCGCCAGTGCAAGTCTGGCCTCTATCAGTCTGAATATATCCTGCCCCTTCATCAGGGTACGCTAGACTGGCGTGCTTGTATGCTAGCGTGCACCCAACACTCACACTAACCCTGATTGACTGAAACAGGAAAAGCAGCCAAAACGGTAACACCATGGCCAAAGGCATGCAAGCAATGTTGGAAACACTTTTTTTTTTTTTTTTTTTAAATGAAAAGAAAGAAAATAAATACATCTTGGGATAAAAAAAATCTTAATACATTATCTTAAAATTTTCCTTTTCTTGTTTTGTGTTTCATATATATATATTCTAAACACACATCTTTGTACATTTTGGTATAAGTTCTCTTTCTTGCAGGGAAAATGGGTGTTGTCTGGTAGAGGAGTGAGGTTTTTTCGGGGCAATCCCACTTTCCTGATTGCCTTGTGCTGATGGGGGGGGGGGGGATGGGGGGGATCACAAAGATGACTCCACCCTTCAAACATTTCTGCTCACACTCAAGTCTCTCATTCTCTGTGGCAACCATGGGCGAGGGTGATGAAAGACAGGGGGCTCAGCAGTGAGAGGACAAGCTTATAGGATGTCCAGAATGTCCAGGACACAAGAAGTAGGAACAGACCACAAGGCGGTCCTTCCTCTTTGGGACCAGAGCTAAAAGCTGCGGTACTGTCTTCCACTATCTCTTATCTGGGGGAAAACAAATTGGAGGTGCAGGATCAGAAAAAAGACGGATAAGGGTTGTGATTCATATATTAACATCTCGTAATTCATATGTTGACACTGAGCATGAATTGAGCTACCTTTGTTTCCATCCGTGTCTGCTGCTGACCTCTCTGGCCTTTGGCGTATTAGATTATTGTACTTGGCCTCAACCTCCTGAGAGAAACAAACAACCCGGTCAGATCAGACAATACAAATGACCACAATGTTTAAACGGCACACTGTTTTCATAAAAATGTGTGTCGGTGAGCTCGGTGGCTGTTTGATACCTTCAGATAGTTGAGGTTGACCTGAAGGTTTCTGAGGTGAGACAAGACCTGTCTGCTAAAAGAGGAGAGGCTGCCGGCCTGTGACGTAGAAGAAAAGCGCAAGTTGATGCCGGAGTCGGCAGCACAGCCTTGCGAGGATCTCAGCTGCTTTCCTGTGGTTGATGCCAAGATGTCATCGTCTGTGCTGCTCTCCCCTGGACCGCCGTAACCCCCCAGGACTAAATACCCTGCTGATAGAATCAAATGATGCGATTTAGTACTACTACTGCAGGATCAAGGAGAGACAAAGAGCACTGAGAAAGTAATTAAAGTAACTAATAACAGCTAAATTGTTCAAACTGTCCAGGTTTACCATAATCTTCAGGAGAATCAAAGAAGCCCGTGTCCCCAGAGCCCAGGTCCTGAGTCGGGTCCTCGGTCTGGGAGCTAATCTTCTCCGAGCCATTGTGGACCATCCCCCGAGCGCGGCTGTCTACGGGTGTCCGCAGAGAGGTGGTCCTGAGGAGACGTACCCCCGTGGAGCGTTTGGTTTGCGCTAAAGCCTCCTGGGACATCAGCTGGGTCACCAACACCTGCTTCAACGCTGCCACTGAGGGAACGATGAGGAAAAAGGGGGGTTATGAAACCTACATACAATGTCTGTGTGCAGCTGATTGATTGAGCCGATTTCATTTTGAGTCATCTGTTCTGTGTGCTTACATGTTTTCAGTGCTTCGTCTGCTCTGGAGGGAAACATGTTAAACGAGTCTCCTTCTTTGCCGTCTTCCGCCGCTTGATAAGGAAACTCTGGGTCCACAAAGCCTTCCTCCTCCTCCTCCTCTTCCTCTGCCTTTATTCCCTCAAATGGATTATTACCTGGCAGAGAGCTCTGTGTCACACTTCTAGGCGCCGGACTGCTCTCTTTATCTGAGGGATTGTAATTAGATAAGGATTATCTGCACAGTCGACTCGGATAGAATATATAAAGCAATATGGATGAAAAGCATGCGTCTCCAGCTACCTGTGGACTGGGTGCTGCCGGTGGATGTGCGGTCTGGGTCTCGACTCAGCCTGGAAACACCTGCTGTAATGATCTCCACACCGTCTCGCTCCCCACTGGCACACAAGCAACATCTTATGTAAATAGCAAGCTCGAAGCCTGAGAACAATCTGATTGGATCATATAAGAAAGGTGATAACAACATACTCAGTCTGAGGTAATGGTATGACGCTGTGAGGTTTGACTTTCATGGCATCAGCTCTCTGGGTGATTAGACGCTGCCACCTTGTGCAAGGGAGAAAAAAAACTAGTCATTAGCCTATTTAACAACTGGAGCAATGCAAATTCAATTAATCAATCAAAATGTGGACTAACGTTCTCTGATCGGAGACTGTGGGCGCCATCAGCTCATAGATCTGGGCTCCGTTGTCTGACATGGATAGGACGAAGAAGGACTTGTTGTCTGGCAGGAGAGAGTGTGGGCAGAAGGTTCAGGGTGAGATTAAGCACAATTTTGCCCAACATGCATGAAGCCTTAGACTTCCTGATCCCGTATTCAGGGTTGCCTGGATGTTGTATAGTGAGGTGTGCTTTCGTTCTTTGTTTTGATCAAGTTACTATACCGCCGTGTTTAAAAATGCAAAACAGACCAAGAGATTGTGTGTTAACTGACCTGTGGCCACAGAGCGCACCAGCACAGTATTGAGTTTGATGATGGGGCTGAAGATATGTTTGGTATCTGCGGTGCCTGCCAGGTTTTTACTGTGACACTTCAGGATCAGACGCTCATCTTGTTTCTGTAGCAGAACCAAGATGTCCTGCAGCAGGAGGGTGTACAACTCTGAAAGGAGACAGAGAAATGACTTGTATTTAGTTTTTCGGCAGCAATATAAAACAATCAAACTCTTATAATGTGCCGATTACAAACCAATAGTCTTGTCCTTGTTCACTTTCCATGACAGCGGCCCCTCGTGCACCATCGTTCTCTTGGTTAAATCCAAATTCTGAAGGAGGTAGAATAGGAAAATAAATGTAAAGCTTATAAGTACTTGCTAGTGGTCCATGGAGCCTTCTCCACCAGCACTAGCTTTCTACCGAGCAGATATTTCATACAGCGTATGTGGGTGTACGACAAGCGAGTGTGCTTTAAATGAAGCTAAAAGGGTCATGTAGACAACTCACTTTTAGCTCCAGGATCATGGGGTTGTCTGTCTGCTTGAGAGTAGAGAGGTCCAATCTTCTCTGATAGTCCTCCAGCCTCTAGAGAAAGGACGAAAAGAAAATGGAGACACGGGAAAGGGGATAAGTAAGCGCTCTTTAAAAAGGAAGCCACTGCCTGGGGAGCAAAGAAGGTAGTGGGAAAAATAAATTGTGGTAGAGATGGAGAAAAAAAAAGAGACGACTGAGGATGAGACTTAAGGAGAAGAAGAGAAAAGTCAAGGGGATGGCACAAAATAAAAAGCAAGACTTTAAAAAACATCCTACCTGCTTGTCCTCAGATTCCTTAACAGCCTGGTTGACGTGATTGAGAATCTTCCTACAGCAGTCTGCTGCCTGCTTCACTTTGTCCTTCTCCACGGCGTTGTCTGAAAGATATTATGACATCAAATAAGAAGCAACGCCTCCACAGTTCTGCAGGGGGCTGACCGGCAAACGGATATTTCCTCTGTCCATTAGCACACCATCGTTCAAAAGCATTAAGATAAAGCAGAGGGGCATTATGACCCTGTAATAGCTGGTTATACTTTATCGTTAGTGCGTTCTCTCTGTGTGACACCCAAACCCCAGCCAAGATTAACATGATGGACCAAATAATGGGTGAGACGTTTCCCAAAATGTGCACAGCCGCTCCCCATGAGCATTAAAACGCTAATATCTCCATTTGTCTCTGTAATTCACTTGTTGGCAACATGCTGCCACACAGAACCTTGCTTAAGACTTGATTTTGTTCATTTTCATCCACTTTCTTCTATCTGTGGAGTTCCATCTTTATCTATTTTATTCTATTACATTCTAAATATAAAATACAAACTTTGTATTATTCCTGTATTACCTGTTTCCTTGGTTACTCACAGCATGCGTAGTTAGTTTCCATTTTGAATTAATTGCCTCATACGATCGAATTGATTTTAGGTTCACAGGAGAGCGGTAACAGTAACTGAACTCTTCTTGTGGAGTTCATGCAGTGCAGAGAAACTAGGTTAAGTTAGGAGGGTTTATAATTGAATGAAATAGTGGAGGGATTAAGTATAATTGTGGTTTGAAACGGTCATTTTTAAAAGTAAATCACAATCAGTGATTGACGAAGTATTTGTGACAAACTTTGACGTGTGTGAATAAGACTGGAGGAGAGGGATCCGTTTTTGTGCTTCCATGTAAGTGGTTTGTATAAATGTACAAATCTGTTCTGTGTCTCCTCCTGCGGGCAGGTTGACTTCATTAAAGCTTCATGCATGTCCAAGTGTCCACTGTTTATACTACCGTCACTAGTTTATTAAGCTGCAGCAATTAGTTCAACACCAGAAATTTAACGTAATCATTTTAAATGATCAATAAAATCATTTTTTAAAGTAGAAATGCCCCAATTTTTCTTTACTAATTTCAACTTCTCAAATGTGACATTTTTATGAAACAAACAATTAATCAAAAAAATAATCTGTGAACTAATCAAAAATGAAAATAATCTTTAGCTTCAGCGATTCTATCATCATTCAATCCACATTCTGGTTTATTCAAACATCTTGTTTTGAATCATCATTACATCCACCACCATGCACACAGTTAGTATATGTGGAGTCATTTGTGCAGTAAAATAACCAGGTGCAGAAATCACTGCAAACTGTTGTGAAGGAACTGTGATGTGTAAGGCAGCACTACAGCACCTGTGTACTTGGCGATGTTCTCTAGTAGCAGGGGGTACTTGGTGAGCCGCTGCATCTCTACAGGAATGATGTCTTTAAGCTGCAGTCGGCGACACAGTCTGTTACTCTCTGCCTCCTGCAAAGCAATAAAACAAATTAAATCAGCTATGGGTGAACTTAAGCTGTCGGCAAAAAGACAAAATACATCTCTGGACAAGTAAAAATCGTGACTGAGCAGTACTAAATGTAGCTTCAGAGAATTGGCATTTCAGCTGCAAGTGTCGTTTACCTCTTCTGCGTGACGCATTTTGAGCCTTCATTCAGTGCAGCAGCTAACGACACGTTTCACAGATGGAACCAGTTGGGAAAGCATAATGTCAGTACCTGCACGAACGAAGTGAACCGCGAGTCTTTCTTCTGCTTGGTCTTGATGATCTCGAGAGCAAACGGCTGGTTGCTGCAGAACGTCCCCACCGCCTTCTTGATCGTCTCCTCCTCTCCATCGCTGAACTGTAACCACCCAACCCAAGACAGGACAGGGCAGAGACGCTGATCAGTCACTCGATCTGGGTCAGGGGGTGTTTAGTTGCTATGGAAATGTCTAGAACATAGCCACTACAATGAGCAAGCAACTCCCAGAAGGGGGCCAGGCTTAAGACCTCGTGGCAGAGATGGCTCAAGTTTAAATGTAGACGAGATCAATGCTCGGACCCTCGGGGCATCATTTACCCTACTTCTACCCCACGGAGACATTTTAGACAAGGCTGCCAGCTGAAGCGCAGCTACCTCACATCTAATGTATGACACATGATATCGAGATGTCAGCCAAATCTAGGGCACTGACTGACATAACCGTTTACTGAGAAACAGGCTTCCACTTCACTCGCTCGCTTCCACCGTGATTACATTTCTCGGCCGAGTTATTCTTTTGTGTCTCGTCGAAGGTTTTTGACTTTCAGGATTTTGGTGTAGGATTCAAGAATGCTATGTTAACCCCTTCTCTGTCATATTTGAACTGTACACAACCATTTTTACATACACATGACATTTCAAAATGATCAGAATAGAGGCTGAAGAAAGCAATCCCACGCCAACGTCAACATCTTTTTCTCGCTATAAAGCAATTTTGGGCAGCAGTTCAATATCTTTGTGAACAATACGGTTTTGATTTTTCCCTACCACATCAGTCGTCTTTAAATTTATTCAATATCGGAAAATGTTTGAAAGAGGAAACACAATTTCAGCCTGAGATATGGACTTACCCAGGAGAGCAAGTCGTCGCCTATCTGATCAATTACTGAAGACTCATTTCTCTTCCGAACGGCTGCCATTTGCTCCAGTATTGAAACTGAAAGTCAAAGGAGAGGCAACAACTGTCAGTGTGTGTTTGTGTACATAGGATGACAAAGATGAAGGATACAACATGAGAATGTGAGGGTGCTGTGTGTGCTGCTGTTGTAGTTAGTTTGACTTTAAACTTAATTTTGATTCTCACTACCTTACTTTTAAATAGTTTTTTTTTTTACTGAATCTTAATGGTTCAAGAGCAGTCATGCACAGATAGGTTTTAAGGATGTGTACCGTGCAGCTGTAGAATGTCGTCCAGGTTGGTGAAGATGTTCTTGATATCAGCAGGAGGCAGGATGGCCTCTTTTGAGAGCTTCTGGTAGAAAACGTGGTCCAAAACTCTCAGCATCCTTACATGTGCGCGCTCTGTATAAAACAGCTCTGCAGACACAATGCAAGACGTTGATTGAAGATGGCAGATCATTTGCACAACTCAACATGATGCAACATTTGACAGCAACTTGGGTTGGACCCCAGCAGATGCTCTGCTGCTGCATACCTCTCCCTTCTACTTATCATATTCCATAAAACAACAGTATTTTAAGTACATTGAGGTGGAACCACTTCTATTCTTTGACAACAGATCTGGTTAAAATGAATTGTAACTTCATGTGAAGTGGTAAGCCATGTCCTCACCATTGATGACTTCCTGTCTCTTGATTTCCTGAGGCCTGAGGCCCGCTAGGATCTCTCGCCCCACCAGCTGCTGCCAGTTTGGAGGGTCGTGCTCAGAGTCTGTTCCCTGGTCGTCCTCACTCTGGACGTCAGCTGCACCCAGTCCCTCGAGCCTAGGGCCAGACAGAGAGTTAGCTCCTCATCTGGCAACTAACAACTTGGATGAATTTTATGCGAGTGTGAAAATGATCAGGTATCCTCACCTTCTTATGGCCTTTGGTGTTCCTTCGTGGGCTCTGCAAAACAGTAAAATCAATGTTAACTATAAATATTGTCTTCTTAAGGGAGCTAAACTGTTAATGCAAATGAGACTGTAAATGCACCTGTCGCTTTCTCTGTCATCCTCTTGCAGTTGGTCCAGGCTGTAAAGGTCAAATTGCGGAGCAGAGTACGGCAACCCATCAAGGGGGTCGGACTGAAGGCCGTCACTCAGCCTGGACGGGCCTGAGGTCGGAGTCCCACCTGAGAGACAAGTAACAAGTTAAAATCCATCGCCTCCTCTGTGTTCTTCTTCCACCGACGAGTTTAATCTAGTCGCTCACCCATATCAGTGTCTCGGCTAGTGTCTGAGCTATAGGTGGCGCTGTTTGGGGACGAGGAGTTGATAGACATGGAGTGTACGAGTTCAGAGCCCTCGCTCGATTGGCTGCCTCTGAGACGACCGGCTTCCATGTGATCACTTGCCCCTAGTGTGGGCTGAGACAACTGTTTCTGCGGCCGGGGGCGACCATCCAAGGCTTTACCTACTGAACGAGGAGAAAAAAGGCGTCAAAATTTGAAAAAGCTTTAGAAGCAGTATCATAATTTTGGCTCAATCGTAAGTCCTAACTCACCAGATGCTGCTTCAATGCGGCTGGGCCGACGCTGAGGTCCAAGGATACTGGGAAACCTGGGTTTCTTCACCTTCTCTTCTCCTTCCTTTTCTGTCTTGATGCTTTTCTGTAATGTATTAACAACAAGGGAAGTGTCAGGTAGATGATAAAGGGAGAGAGAGAGAGAAGGGCAAAAGCACAAAAAGTAATGTTAAATACCTTGATCTTGGGAAGAAAGTTGATCCTGACACGTTTGGACTCCAGACTCCGAGGTTCCTTGACTCTCACACCAAGGTGCTTCATGTACGTATAGATGACATACTGCATTGTAGTGCTAAATGAAAACAAAAGTGGCAACTCTTTAGTTTAGTTGCTCCATTTGAATTATATCTGACAAAACAAACAGGATGCTAAGATTGGAAGTGTCCATATTGTGACTTGCACCATATGTCATACCAGTCCTTCTCTACAGTTGCTACACAAACCATCTGGGGTATGCTGCGAACATATGGCATTTCAAACAAGACTGTTTCAATCAGTCACACTTTTTAATTATTTAAAATAAACACACTGCATAAATTAAATGTTCTCTTTAAGGGACGGCCCGCGTGTTTAATTTGTAAACTGCAGGGGATGTAGAATAGGGCTTGGATGACACCAATATATTCGGTGTTCTTGGCCGAAAAATGCAAAACTAAACTTTAAAGGTTGAAAAACATGACTAGCACTGAGATATATTATTCATTTAGCATTTAGATTTTCTTCTTTTTTTTTAAAGAATTAATTTAAAAGGAGACAAGCAGTCTAATAAAGTAATAAATACTGAGAGTTATTTAGGATTATTGTGGGACACATTACAGATTGAAAATGCAATGAACCCACAGATGGTTTGAGGGGCCGTGAGAGCCCCTGAAGTCCTAAATAATCCCAATCATATGCTTTGAGAAATACTCTTCATATCAATCAACCAAAGACTCCACAATATAAGTTTGCTTACCATTTCTCTTCCTCTGTGGTCTGAGTAGTTAACCTATAAACAATACAAAGGAAAACAGACTGAGTAGCTGGTAATGGTTAGAAACATGAGATATTTGTGCATCCGAGCAGCATATCTCTGCATGCATGGCCTGTGTGTCAGGTAACCGTGTCTGCACGTGCTACTTACAGGATGTCCTCTATCTTGGTGATGATGTTTTCAGCGTATGAGCGCTCTCTCTCCAGAGCGACACGGTCTCTGACTCTCTCTTGGTCCAGTCTGGACAGCTCTACTTCAGCCACCGTTAGGCCCATACTGCGCTTCTGCCTACATGTGCCAACATATCAAGTCACATACAGTTGTTAGGTTGATAATGCTCTTTTCAATTTTCCTTGATGCGAGAACCAAATCCTCAAGTTCTGCAATTCATCAGAACTTACTAAACCATGGAAAATAAAAATTCTGAGTTGACAGGTTTACCTGAAGTCCTCAAGGTTCTTCTGGATGTCAGGGAGCAGAGAGTCCTGCAGTGTTTGAACATGCTGTCTGTTTATTTCCTCAGGGATCAGTTCTGTCCGCCGGCGGTCTGCAAACACACGCACACACTCTCATATATACAGTACGCCAAGTCTCTAACAGGATTATGTCAAGTGCACACTAAATACGCCCTATTAAGGTTAAGCAATACTTTCCAACCCATCAGAGCATTTGATTTTTTTAACACCTTGGTCGGGAGTGTGCAAGGCTTACAGGGACTGTATAATGAGGATGGCCAAATGGAGGAAGTGAGCCAACAGAAGCACAAAAGGTGACCGTAACAGAAGAAATTGCCTCCTCAAAATGGCTCCAGGCAGATGAGCAAATGAAGCGGAAGCACGGCATACTTACCGAGATCAGTAGAGATGGATTCAGGGACAGCAACTTTCAAATTCTGTAAAACGAAAACAATAAAGATAAATAATTAAATACACTGAAGTCCAGCAAAACCCTTTCGAATAATATAAAATGTCAATGCGAGTACAGATAATAAATGAAGGCACTCATAATCATGTTATGACCTATGAATAATGAAACAGTCAATTAGTGACAGATGTATCACTTTATTCTAACTTGTAAATGGGCAATGTGGTGTTAACTGTGAGCTATTAGTGTATCACTCCATGTTTTATCAGAAAAATCTCATCGTGTTTTTAGATTGGAGTTTGAGCTTCGGACTTAAAGAAAACAACCACAGATGTTGGGGCCGTGCTCGGTGTAATTAGTGCCATTTTGACGTGATGTGGTGACATGCAACATTTCACCTATTTCTGTCAAAATCTCATCAGTTGTGTGACAGATAGATAGAGGATTGCTTGAGTCTGACGTGTAGCGTTGCCCATATTTCACAGTGGGGAACAAACACTGTACTTACCGCTCCACGGTCAATGAAAAAGGTGTGGAGGTCCATGAACACCCGTCTGGTCTCTTTGGAGTTGGTCTGCTTGTAGAAGTCAGCATAGAGGTAGCACAGCTAAGGACATAAGATAAAGATTTATTAAAGCAAACGGTGAGCGGTAGTGTCTGCCAGGTTGCATGAAAACAGGAAATTAATACATAAAAGATTATTATAAGGTGTGAAGGAGGAGGGTCTTACCACAGGAGCGGGGTCGAACTGAGACATGACATGGTGTAGGAAGGCTGCGAGGTGGGCGGGACGAGACTTGAGCTGCTCCATGTTGTTAAAGCTGTGACACTGGCCATTTGTCTGGAACAAAATCGGTACAACAGTTTGCATTCGCTGACTTCACATGTGACGTGAATTTAAATAGTATTATTTAGACATTTATTGCAAAGAAAAGTGTATTATTACAGCATCGAGCCATAAGTTTCGTATTAGGATTGTCCCCGTCCCATGTAACGTGCATTTTGGGTGATTCAATCACAGGTGGACAGCTCTAAGTAGTACTCAGTTTACACCAAGCATTAGAATGCGTCTTCACGCGCGCCTGGGGCGACCACTTGTGATCGGATCTGACTTCCCTGATCTATATGCAAATTAACACGTACATCATTTCCATTTGTAAAGACCAAATGTGTTGTTGATTTTAACCGGTGGGAGGCAGCAACACAAATTAACAGTGTCCAATTGTGTTTTGGGAGGTTTGTCGCCATATACACACACTTCAGTGCCAAATTATGAGTTTGCCTCAAGGGAACAGACTGTGGAAGATGGTGGATAGCTTTGAGAAGCAATAGATGGCTCTTATATCCCCATCACCACCCCCTCCAACAATGCAACGGATTACCTCAGTCGAAAGTTAAGTCATTCCACCATCATCACTCGATTAGTAACACACACACACACACACACACACACACACACACACACACACACACTGCTAGGAATGTGGGACAGACCACCTCCAAAAGTGGTCTGAGCGATCGTATCTCAATACGTCCTCCATTCGTCTTATGTGCATTCACACCTGTATTTAGAGCTGTCCACTTGTGATCGGTTCACCCAAGATGCATGTTACTGTCTGGTCTGAACCGGACCATATATATATATATATATATATATAAATATAGACAGCGCCTGCAGTGTGTTTGCACTGGGGCCCGTAAGGTAGAAGGCCCATAGGGAGTGCAGGCAAAAAAGCAAACCCATCTCCATCATGGTTTTAATTTTTCAGTAGCAATCTATCCAAAAAATATCCCAAATGATATGAATATTCTACATAAACTATGAAAAATATTTAAATTTACATGTATAATTTCAGATTTTTTTGTCATACACAGAAATGCAATGATGATTGCTGTAATATGAATGTCGATGTTGTCTAATGTCAAGTCACTATTTGACGAGACGATATAGGCCCAGTGATTAGTTTTGGTGTAAAATCTCTTGCAAAAGACCCGAGTAAACAGCCATGCCTTTCAAACATACATTTGTTATAAACAGACGCCCGCCCACAGTGTGTGTGCTTTATAACTAGCGTGCATAAGTGCACGTCACAATAGCATTCACTGGGGCCCGCTGTAACTACCTTTCGTAACTACCATAGATGTTAATTCTGCACTGTGGACAAATACCTGCTCCTGGTCTGAATCAAAATAGTCATCCTCAGCTCCAATGATTTGCGAGATGAGGCGGGAGGAAGAGGGACTGCTGACTGTGGTAGGGGACAGAGAGTCCTGGGGGAAAGACAGTTGTGGAATTAGTGTTTTCTATTTAGAAATTCATTTATACATTTATATCTCAACTGATCTGAGATTCAACATGTAATGTTTTTCTATAGAACACACTTCAAAAGTTCTCTTTCCCGAGTTTACACCAGGAAAGGGAGTGAATAAGTACATTTCTTTTGGCAGAATGTTCAATAGGCCAAAGAGCACAGTTACCAGGTCAGTGGCGTCCTCTGCCTCTGGAGAGTGGCAGGAGTTGAAGCTGTTCCTGGGGATGCTCTTTGGGCTGGGATAGGATGGCTCTCTTGGGTAAAGGCTCTCTGGAGATCCAGGTCCAAATCCACGAGATGTCTGCAGGTGGGATGGAAAAAAAGCATTACGTTATCTGAGTCTTTTGCCTTTAGTTTAGTACAGCTGAAAGTAGACAGGAAAGGGGGAGAGAGAAGGGACGACATGCAGCAAAAGGGCCGCGGATCAGATTCAAAGCGGGGTTGCTGCTAAGGACTCAGCCTACATCCACTCTACCAGGTGAGCTACCGGGGTGCCACGAACATCAAATTCTCAATTAATCTCAATTTAACAAAACAAATCTCCAAAAAACCACAACTGTTGCCAATTAATTTATTCCATTCGTTTTCATACATGACCAACAGAAGTTTGAATGCAGAATCAATACTTAGCGCAGCCAAAGCTAAGCAGCGCAAATTAAGATTGATTTAACTCATCCAGTTTAGCACGAGGCCGTGCATCTATTGTCCTCAAGTTTGCCTAGTCTTGGACTCAAAGTTTAATATAAAGCTCAGAGGGGCATTTTAACTATGTTATAACTTACAGGAGTGCTGCTCCAGGACAGGTGTGTACTGTTGTCTCCCTTAGAGTGCTCCGTCTCAAACATGCTACCACCATCTGCATCTCCACCTGGAACAGCCTCCTACAGATTCATGTAAAAACAAGATCTGGTATTAACTACGAACAACCTCATCACACAACAACAACCGTCACAAAGACCACAGTGACACATGTTTAGGACAAACGAGGCCCACAGGCCACATTGGTGACAATTAACAAAAGTAGGAATTTATGAGTATTTTAACATATTCTCATAAAATAGGACTGTTAAAATTGAGAGAGCAGATTAATGTGTTGACATACATAACACAAGGTTTAGTAAGTGATGTAAATAAAATAAGCTGTCACACAGACACAAAAGAGAGGCTTCCCACAGAGAAAGTCTAATCCTCTGATAAGATTAGGATTAATGTTTGTCTGGAGCGATCCCTGAACGCGCTACACACAATTGTACTGCTTGGATTTTTGCTGGTAGATCAGTGTCACTGGATACCCTATTCTGTATGCAAGCACATGGCGATGAAGGGGGTCGTTGGCTTTACCTGTGTTGCCCCAGTGGCCTTGAAGAGCTGACCCTGCAGCTGAGGAATGTGTTTCTTAGCTTCCTGGATGTCTTTCAGTAGTTTGGGGGAGGGGTTCCTGCTGTACTCCTCCTTCATGGCCTTTACAGCAAGAGAGGTGAAATCAAAATAAGCAATCAGGACCAGTAGCAAGCCTCTGGTCTGGCCTGGCTCTATTCAGCCCTGGCATTGACATGCGTCTTGGGTGATCCGATCACCAGTGGGCAGCTCTAAGCACAGGTGCGAGTCCTTCAGTGTCCTGTGCGACACGGAAGGACTGCCTACTCAACAGATGTCCTCTACGCGAGTGCAAGTACGAACTCGTTCGCTGGTTTTGTCCACAAATTTCGGGAAGCCACTAGAGCCAATAGAGACACACAATGAATGCGTCAAACATCTTGGACAATTTCCAAGGAATAGACTCAGTCTGTGTTGTTTGGATTTCTTCAGTGGTGCGGTGTGATTTTTCCACTAGGTGGAGCAACAGCACTACAGGTAGCTCGTTGTATTTTTAGACATTAGTATTTTAAAAGTATTTCTGATGTCACACAAACCACTGAGTGAATGCCAGGTGTGAACTGATGTACTTAGTGCTTGACACACAAGACATATGTTAATACCAGGTCTGAACAGGGCCTATGTCATGTGTTGAATCTGTTCTGAAGTCTGGGATGTTGAGGAAGATACTATTTTAATCTATTGCATAAAAACCAATCGTGTTAAGGGTACACATAGTACCTGCCTCCTACCCAACGCAACGCTCTATTTAAAGATGGATGAGAGCTGATCCTTTCATTTTCAACACAGATAATAACCCAATATTACTTAAGAGGGTTTAGATTCTATTGCAAAGACCTACGAAGAAACACGTGTTACAATAGAGAGAAGACGGAAGTGGCAGCGATTGTTCTGCTAACCTGCAGCCCCTGCTGCCCTTTTGAGAGCATCTTTTGCAACATGTCAACCCTCTGGTTACAGACACTGCTGTTTTCATCCTGTGGGGAAAAAAAACAAAAAGGCATATGGAGGAACTGTGCATTAGACAACAGATGAGAGGCATTCCAGCAAAGATTAGAAATATGTAACCATGATGCATTTAACAAATATTGAGGCGTACAGAAAATATGTGAGAAGGGATGAACAATACAACGCTATTTTAGATAGCATGCCGGCATGACGTGTAAAACAACAGCGTCTGTGTTTAGTGTGCGTGTAAGTCTATTTAACTCTGTTACCATCTCCGCTGACGGCTTAACTGTGTAATAACTCTGGTGCCCAGAATGGCGAGGCGCAATAACCGCGCAGCATTCCCACTTTGAACACAACACCACAACTTTGAAAGGGGTGATAACCCATATGAAACCCCTCAAGATGGTGAGGAGGGAGAATAGGGAAGGAAAGCAAGTTTGCGGAGGAAAGAAACAGAGGACAACAGAAATGAACGGATGTCTTTAGTACCCATGGTGGTTGAGTGAAGGAGAGGCGGTCCAGAGGACTGTAGGGGCGTTCTGCTGCTGGGGAGTTTGGAGAGGAAATGCTAACCCCGAGCATTTGAGACTCTGCTTCAGACAGAGGGATCTGGGCGAGCCCAGGAGGACGCCCCAACACTGTGAGGGCCACATAGGAGCCCGCTGGATAGGAAAGATCACAGTCAAAGAGTCAGTTATACTTAAAAGGTTTACTTGTTAAATGTGTGGCTTTTGCTAGAAGACTTACATTTGATAAGTTTCACCACCTCAATGTGGTTTGAATGTGTAACAAGGGTCCCGTTAACCTGGAAGACAGCAATGAGGAAAATTAAAAAACAGATGCCGAGACCAAAAACCTCCCATTCTCAGTTCAGCGTTACAATTCGACGTCTCCCTCCATTCCGAGAAGCAGCATAAAGAGAGTAGACATACAAACGGACCAGAAGGTGGCAGCCTACAGCCTCCGTATTGGCCTTGGTCAAGAAAACAGTGACGTTTGCAGGAAGGAACATGGAGGAAGATGTACACAATACCTTGATGATCCTGTCTCCTGTCTGAACACCTGCCCGCATAGCAGCCCCATCTGGCAAATGCAACACAAGAAAACAAATGATAACGCAACAGAAGAGGCGAGGAGAGATATAGAATGAAATGGGTGGAGGGGAGACGCATAAGACATGCAGCTTTATGGCGTAATTGCTGATATTTCTGCACAATGAATAGATAATATAGCCTTGACAGACCAGATGTTGCAAAGTGACTATTTGAGTGCCATTTTGAAAGACCATAACAGTGGTTATATTATACGAAGGACCTGTTTCACAGCTCCACCCAAAACAAAGGGATTTAGGCACGAGACAGGTTATTATGAGAACCACGCCTGACTCTATAGTCAGCAGCATACGGCTCAAGTATTTTGCAAACCAAATACAGTTTTACTGATACACTATTATGATTTGCATTTGTATTAGTATGGACATTTTAACTGGTGTCACTGAACCAAGGACATAATCTTGTCTGATCAGTTGGACTGAAAGTAGAAGGATGAACAAGAAAAGCAGAAGCAAGATACTACAGATACATTTTCTTCATTTAAAAACAAAAAAGAAGTTGTATGAATTATTCAGATGAAACTAAGAAGACTGCTTTGAGTCGAGTCGGGGACAAATGGGAAGCCACACAGAGATAGTCGAACACTCCCCGCGCACTGACGACAGTAAGTCCTCGATCAGTTCCTTCCTTTTCTGTCTCTCTGCTCTACTGTGTAGACTGAAAATGTTTCTGTAACCCGATAGCAGCCCACATCATTCTCTACCGATAGAGAAAGTCTGCCGGGGACCATATAAGTATCCTGTCAAAGACAACATGATGAAGCAGAAGCTGCAGCTATACTGTGAAACTACTGAGCAGGAAATATACAGTCAATGGTTTCACTTCTCTAAGTGCCAGAGTGGTGGTGGTTGCTGAGTCCCAATTACCCTTCACATCTGTGAGCAAACTACCATGACAGTTTGATGTCAGTGCATGAAAAAAGCAGCTCATATCTCTATTGCAATTGCTTCGACCAGAAGTAGGTATTGTAACACCAGATTTTTCTTTCGTCCTTTTAAGTTTGAGACTCCACCTTACCTTCTTTGACAAGTTGCACAAACACTGGGTTGTCACCACTGACAGTGAGCCCAAAGCCATTTTCATCTTTCTGGATGATTACACATCGTTGAACCAGACCTGCAAGTGAGACAGAAATACATAAACAGTGTCTTCAAAACGTACCAGGAAGTCGTTAAAGAAAAAATGTACTCGCTGGAGTAAGTGCTTCGAATACAACTAAACCTCGGCCTTGTTCTAAAACCTGAGCAGACATTTGAAAGAAATTGAAGAATGTATTGTGGATGGACACGACCGACCGATAATAATCACACTTTGCAGGCTATGAAGAGCAGTTTTTACACCCATTTAAAGGATGGGTTCACATTCTCTAAAGTATAACTTAAAACAATAACCTTTGATTTCAGCCTATGTTCCTCCTGTCCGTACTGACCATTAACATATTTTGACACCCATCACTTACACTGAAATTGCTTTAAAATGGGATCTATATGCAGCCAGTATTGACATACTGCTTTCAATAAACAGTGCATATGGGAATGTTAGTATTGTTTGTTGAAAAGAGTCTTTAACATACCAGCACATAACCCATCTCCTGTAGTCTAGGATAACAACATCCCATAATCTGAGCATGTACAGTTAATAAAGCTTGTTCTAAAGTTGGCCAGTAAACATTTACATAGCAACATTTTTACACACGTTGTCTACTTTCTCAAGATACCAAAAAAATAAAATAAATCCTTTTAAAAACGTAAACACTAATAATGAGGGCCCTTCTGTGTGAAGCGACGTTTGAAACAGGAAACCGGGACATATTTGGTTGTAGTCTCACGAGCCAGAAGGAACATTACTTTTCAGGTTTTTCTTATGAGGTGTAGCGTAGCAAAAACAGATTAGAGCTCATCTAATATCTGGCCCGACACTGACTAGACTTACAGGATAGTACAGGCAAAAGAACACACAGCAAAATGCTGTAAAAGCAAAACATTAAATATTGCAAGCTTTCTTAAAACACCTTTATAAAAAAAAAAAAAGGAGATTTTATAAGTAACCCTAGAGCTGGTATCTTGTGCAGAATCGACCAGAGAGGTGATTCCATCGATGAGGACAACGGTGGGGTTAGGTTGGAGAGTGGGAGGAACAGGAGCTAATACACGGAGAGACGTTAGGGGAAGCAAAAGCCCCAGGCTGGGGGGGGGGGGGGGGGGGGGGGGGGGGGGGGGGGGGGGGGGGGGGG